GGATCTCATTGCTTGTGGCAACTAGGAATGAGAAGGAAAAAAATGGCAGCAATCATGCTCATTCTAAAGTTGACAGCTTGTTTGCATTGCTTGTTCTGCCATGGTTCTTGAATAAGTTACATTTGCCTGACCACATGCAATCTGTTAAGATGCAACCCTGGTTCTGAACCTGAATAGCTGGGTTCCAATACTATGCTACTAAGCCAGAGCTGAACAAACCATATTATTTATTTTATTTTATTTTTATTTATTAAAATTTATATTATGTCTTGGATTAGTCAATAAAACCATGAGACGCCTGGTATGAGACTTTGTTATGTTGCTGTTAGGCTAGACAGGCCAGTGGTCTAAACAAAGTACTTTAGAATTGATCAAAGCAGACTATGAAAGTTTCTGCTTAGTTGAAATCTATTGATGGAATTCATATCCCATTTCACTAATTCTTTATGCTGGCTAGTATAGACAGGCTTTTGACTTTAAGAACTAGAAAAGATTTTGTTATTAAAACACATACTGAGTTATTCAGGGAAGAGAGGCTGAAATTATTAGATTCTCAGATTTTATTATTTTAGATATCTGTGTCTGAGTAGCATTCAAGATGAAGCAGCAATGGTATTTATTACAGTTAACACCTAATGACACTTAATAAATCATGTCTATGGGACATAGAAGAACAGACACTTGAGTCTCTTCAATTGTTCAGCTGGCCTACTTTTAGAAAATCTCATCAGATTTTTGTGCTTTCAACTTCCAAACAATCCATCACAGTTAATCCATTTCTATCCTTAACTAAATGTTGTCATGTACGTATTCACAAATTGACATTGAGCAAGAAACATTAAAACAAAATTAGAATATTCAAGATTATATGGGGTTATTGTTACGGTTTTAAATGTGAGAACTTAAAGGAAACTCTAATTCTATATTCTATATCTTGGGTGATATTTAAATAGCTAAGTTAACAACATGGAAGATTAAACCACTATTAATTAAAATTGACTGGACACTCAAATTCAGTTTGACAGGTATTTTTCTTCAAGAAGTAAGCATACAATTAGTTCATAGATTCTTGTTTCATTTGCACTTCAGATAAGCAATTGAAACACTGAATTTACACAATTGTGGGTTTTTTAAAAAAAGAACCAAAGCAATAAAATAACCTTTACATACCAATTATATATCCTCAAGCCAGCTCACATTACATATGAAGTGATCTTTGACAACATCATTAAAACAATGAAAGCAGTTAACAGGCTCAAGCATAAATAGAAGTAGGCTCACAATACACAGGCAACCCTTAGGAGTTCAAGATTTCCATAGCAACTGTTTCCTGATTCAGTATGCTTGCTGGAACATACAAAATCATGATAAAAAAGCACCCAGAAAAGCCATGAACAAGCAGGCAGATCAAGTACTTACACCTTCCTGGGACATTCGGAAAGTAACTCTCTCTTCATGTTACACAGTCAAAAAATATAGGGATTCTCTAGCTGAGCGTTACTCAATCTCAACCTTGGCAATTTTAAGATGTGTGGACTTCAGTTCTTAGGATTCTCCAACCAGCATGAATTGAAGTCCATGCATCTTAAAATTGCCAAGGTTGAGAAACATTGCTATAGTCTAAATGGATCTAATGCCCCTCCTTAGCATACATGTATTACTCTGATTTTTACTTTTTTAAAAGGAAGAGGTAGGGGTTAGTATTTTACTGTTTAAATAACAAAAGTAAATATGTGCAAATTAATGACATGATTCACTACGGGGAAATGAACTCAAAAACTTAAAGGATCTGTCACAAGGAAAAAGAGGTCAGTCTATACTCCAATCTATTCCGAAGGCAGGACAAGAAGCAATGGATGGAAACTAATCAAGGAGAGAGTCAACCTAGAACTATGGAGAAATTTCCTGACAGTTAAAACAATTAATTAGTGGAATGAGTTGTATCCAGAAGCTGTGGGTGCTCCAACACTGGAGATTTTTAAGAGCAAATTAGACAACCATTTATCTGAAATGGTATAGGGCTTCCTGCTTGAGCAGAAGATTGGACTAGAAGACTTTCAAAGTCCCCTCCAACTCTGTTATTCTGTTATTCAATAGAATGATAGGAGTTAAAAGAATTTTTAGTCCAGTAATGGAAAATTTGCAAGGTTCCAGACACTGTCTGATTCACCATACATCAGCTCAAGTCAATATAGCCAGTGGAAAGAATAAAGGAAGTTGTGGTCCAACTTCAGAGACCTACTGATTTTTCAACCTAGCTCAAGTCATTATAGGAAGGATACATTATTCAGTACTTAAAGGATTGATGGCATCTCTCCTGTCCTGATCTGTGGAATCCTCCCTCAGACATATTGAGTTAGATTTCTGCCACTGCAAAGTTTATCTAACAGTTAAAAATCTCTCTAATTTGTTCACCAAAACCTTCTCTGTAATGCAATTGTTCATTGTGTTGCCTTGTGAAAAGGGCATCTCTTGTATAAACTGCTATGATGGATAAAGCCTCTATAAAAATCATCTGTACACGGAAGGAGACACTGTCCTTCTTGCTCAACCAGAGGTGTTGGATTGACTTAGATCCCTCCTTGATTCTGGAGTGACTTTTCTGTTGAAGCTTCTATGCCTATGCCAGCTAGATTAGAAATCATTTAGAAAATAGGAGGAATAAATATTAACTGAGAGGAGTGTCTATATGTATGTGTGTGTGTGTGTGTACATGTGTGTATGTGTATTCCCCATTTTTACTTCCTAGATTTTGTCATCATTTATACATGTCTCCCTTTTTTGTGTCAAATCAAATCTATTGTTAGCTTATTAAAACCATGGAAAATGACAAGTCATTATTGTTCAGAATGTATGTATTATTTTGAACTTAATCAAAGGTTGTTTTATCTTTACATAGAACAAACCACATAGAGTATGATTTATTCTTTCATATGGGACATTATATATTAAAACAAAAAACAAAAAAGCTATATAATAGTGAGCTATTGAGTTTTACAAGATAGGAACTGGATACCAGCCCATAACATCAGTGGGGATTCTCAAATCAAATATGCCATGGGGGAACAAAAATTATTTCTCTAACCATTATAAACAAGCTGACTTATATTTTATAAAGCTTTATGTTTAATCCCAAAGGAGAACATTATTTGCCATATTGCCTTTCCAAACTATGAACCACTACACGTGCTAGAAAACTAAGTATTTAATAAACACCTTAGAAAAAATTTTTTTCATAGGATATACATTCTTTCAGAATAAATCAGTTCACAGTTTTCAATTGAGACGTGAATGACTGAGTTCAAATTATATTCTGGGTACATTATGCAAGATGTTGGGAGAGATGGAAGGAAAGAGAAGAAGGCAATAAGCTGCAAGATGGAGCGACACAATTATTATAGCTGCAATGGGTGCACTGTTGGAAGACTTGAAGGTCCAGGTCATGTCCTGTTTCTGTCCGAGGCACCGTTTAAGTTGCTTCTGGTTTGAAAGGATTAGATGACATGACTATTGCCCTGGGGATGCATGTGGGGGCTCCTTTCATGTCCCGACAAGGAGCTGGAGCAAATGCACTACACAATAGCACTCAGATCTCCTATGTGGGGCTGCTAACCTCCAATCTAGTGTCCTAACCACGCGAGCCATGCACTCCAAAGATTCAGATTGGTGATGAACATCTTGGTAAAAGTATATCTTTCTGGTTGGTAAGAATTGATACCAATTGATACCAACTTGATGGCACATAATTAGTCAACAGGATATCATCCTATTTTAACAGTATGAACGGGTGCAGAAATATTGTCTTTGATAATATGACTACTTCTATTTTAATATTCTCAAGAAGAGAGAATATTTCTGAACTTTTAGTGAATTTTTTTTGTTAAACTCTGAAGAAAGAGCGCTCATCTGCTAGCTGGTCTGGTTGGGGAGTTTAGTTCATCAACAACTGAAGGTCATAGGTTGCCCGTATATTTTTTTAAACAGAGATATCAATATCTATCAAATAATTCTACAGCTCAGATAAACTTTGTTTTTAAAAGTGAGCTTCCTCTCAAAAATAGACAAATCTATTCAACATGATACAAATACAGAAAAAGTGAATAAGCATATCCTCAACTAGATGGCAGCATCTACCTGACCTTGTCTTATATTAAAAACTAAACAGGGTTGGATTATCTGAGAATTTGAGATTACCAGGAAAAACTAGGATTGTCAGCTGGGTAGGAAAGGTGAGAAACATCCTGGCAGAATTTAATGGGGAAACTATCTCTGTACTGTTGCCAAGGGAACTAAATGTATGTCTTCATATAGTCACCAGGAGTTGAGTTCTCCTTGAAGGAAATTTTACTTTAAAATAAGCATATAATTATGGTAGTGGCTTGCTTTTAAATTAGCATATTAGCCAAACAAAAGTCAGATTGGTTAAAAGTTTTAAAGCTTCATTAATCCCAATAGGAGGTAAAATGTAAGGCAGGAAAGATCTAAATTTTGGCAGTAAAGTATTGATCTTAAGAGCCATTTTGTTCCCCATAGGTTCTTTACTAATCAGCTTCATGGATAGTGTACTGCTTTTCTGCAATGCTATTTCATAGGGATGCCTCATTGAAGCCCCACCACGATACAGTCCCAACTACTAGAATTATAATAAAATAAAAGCAGCACGAAGAGTAATGAATGTATAATACATGAGGAATAAAACAGAACAGAACAGAACAGAATAACTGAGTTGGAAGGGATCTCCTAGTCCAGTCCCCTGCTCAAGCAGGAAATTCTATACCATTTCAGATAAGTGGCTGTCCAATCTCTTCTTAAAAACCTCTACAACTTCTGAAGGCAAGCCATTCCACTGATTATCTGTTCTGTCAGGAAATTTCTCCTTATTTCTAGGTTGGATCTCTCCTTGATTAGCTTCCATCCATTGCTTCTTATTTTGCTTTCAGGTACTTTGGAGAATAGGTTGACCCTTTCTTCGTGACACTCCTTAGATATTGGAAGATTGCTATAATGTCACCCTTAGTGCTTCTTATCATTGGACTAGACCACGGGGATCAAACTCGCCACGTCACGTGATGTGTTGTGACATATCGCGGCTCTTTTTGCATTGCCAGCAATAGGGTGGGCGAGGCTTTGGTATGATGAAACCAGCCTGCGGTCCAGCAGTTGACACCCCTAGACTAAACATACACAATTCCTGCAACAGTTCTTCATATGATTTAGCCTTCAGTCCCCTAATCAGCTTTGTTGCTCTTGTTTGTACTCTTTCCAGAGTTTCAACATCTTTTTTACATTGTGGCTACCAAAACTGCTTCCAACTGGCAATATTCCAAGTGTGGTCCTACCAAGTCATTATAAAACAGTACTTACACTTCATGTGAACTTGATTCTATCCCTCTGTTAATGCAGCCTAGAACTATGTTGGGTTTTTTTGGAAGCTGCAGAACACTGCTGGCTCATATTTAAGTAGCTATCCAACAGAACTCTCATAATTACTGCTGTTGAGCCAAATACTACCTATTCTATACCTGTTTTTTCTTGATTAAGTACGACACCTTACTTTTCTCAGCATTGAATTTCATTTTGTTTGATAGGGCCTAGTTTTCAGGTGTGTTGAGATCCTACTGGATCTTTAGCCTATCTTTTGGAGTGTTGACTATTCCTGCCAGCTTGGGGTTGTCTGCAAATTTGATGAGTTCCTCTTTTATCCCCTTATCTAAATTGTTTATAAAGATGTTGAAGAGTACTGGACTCAAGAAAGAACCTTGAGGTAATGAGGTACTTCACTGCATACTTCCCTTCATGTAGATGCAGTTCCATTAAGGACTAGAAATTGAGGCTGGTTGGTCAATCCATCTGTGGCAATGCTGTGATACTTGAGGGCGTTAAACAATTTTCCTTTGCTTTACTGCAAGAGATTAATTAGGATTCTCTGTTTATAAGCAAAAAGATAAAGAAAAAGGGATATTTGTGATTATTCCTTATGAAGTAGATTTGGGTTCATGTCCAGTGACTTCACTGGGTGAAAGAAAAGAGGCTGAGCTCAATAAAAGAGATGGCTATTTTATTTACAAGGAAGATTTAACTTGTTCTTGTTATGTGGCAAAGTTCACTTTCAAAGGCTAGGCAGAACCATAACCTCCAAAGTATCTTTTTTCTTGTCACAGGCATGGAGATTGCACAGCTTTTCAGGGCTGAGTTTTATTAGAGTTTTCACAAACCTGGTGTAAGGTGGGCTGCAGTATCAGAATTGGTCCTACAGTGTTTTAAGTATAAAATTACAGATTTCTGGATTTTTAATTTAATTCTCTGCATATGCTAGCTCTCTTATTTATGACACGATACTTCCATTATGCCTTTTAATTAACTCAAGGTTGGGTAGCAAACCAATAACCAATAATACATTTAAAACGAAAGGCAATGAATATTTTGAGTACAACAGCAGTAATTCAAATCTGACACTAAAAAAACCCATGATTATCTGTAGAAGAATAAAATAGTTGTTGCTAACTGGTTCATGTATGAGCAAAAAAAAAAGTTTAGCAGAACTGAGAGAACTTTCAAGCCTCCTTTATGGTAGCTGATTTCCAGTTCCTGAAAATGTTTTTCTGAACAGAAAAGAGCATCGTGTTTCACTCACAATATTATATGTTTATTTTACCATTCAGGCAACATAAATGATTTTCACACACATACACCTATTTTGACTTCAAAACAAACTAATGACATTATGGCTGAAAAAACAAGTGAACCGAGGTCATCATGGGTGAACAAGGACTGGAATTTGTCTATTAAACTCTTCTCATCATGATTGATAAAAACACCAATAGTCATAACCAATTAAGTTCTTATGAGGTCTTGGAATGTATAAGTAACAACACAATGGAATTCTGCTCAACAAATTCCACAACAGGGTTTTGCTTCTGTTAACTTCAATAAATTGTCAGCCTTATTTTTGTATGTATCTTAAAAGTATTAATTTGTTTTACCTGTAATTAACCCAATGGGCACACGTACCAGGAAAGAGATAGCACACCTTTACTGCAGCTCAGCTACAAATACTATCCATCATTTATATGCACATTCCCAATATACAGTTAACATTTACTGGCACAGTTTTCTTTGAGGGAGCAGATAAGGGTACTTCTTTCTTCTTTAATTTTCCATAGTATATAATAAAAAGTGTCTCCATATAATAATCTCTTAAAACCCAGTCCCCACATTTTAAAATAAAACATCTGTAAAAGTTATGGTGGATAATAAAATTTAGCAACAGCCAAATTCTTGCTTCTTGTTAGACAAAGATTTCACAGCTTCTTTCCAACATTCAGTAGGTAAAAGGTGGCAAAATGCATGAACAGGTAAGCTATAGTGACAGGATTTACGAAAGCAGTAAGCAGAATCTTAAATTGGTTGCAGAAAACAGTTATTAAACAAGCACCCAAAAAAAATCCACAAGTACATACACAAGCAGGTAAGTCACAACTTGAACTTTCCTGCACCAAAGGAATGCCTTTGGGGAGTGGGAATCTCCCTTCAAATGTTTGCTTTGATATATTGCACATTATCTACCAATATTTCCTCTGCTTCTTGATATTTACATCAGGACATTTCCTCAAGGAGTCGCAAAGGAAGTGAAATATTTCCCATGTAGTTCATCCATAAGATGGAAAAAAAATGCAACTTCTTCAGTGATGTTTGCTCAAATGTTATCTTCCTCCTCAGCCGTATCCCTACCTAATCAGTGGCTTTCTCTCACTTTTGGAACGGCTTGCCTGTCATCCTGTCATGTTGACTGTGCCAGTTCAAAAATCCACATGTCGGAGTCTCCATAAGCAGCATTAGCTGTCCAAGTGATCAGTGAAGGTCACTCTCTGCTGATCTACACCTCCGCTCTGCTGGATACTCAACCACACACACACAAAAGAAAGAAAGAAGATGGAAAGGATGTTATTGTTGGGTTCCATTGGAATCCAACAGTATCTTAGGTTCTTGTGGAAAAGAAAGGTTAAACACTGTTTTAACAATAAAATAAATCTTAATCTTTTGGATTACTGCTCAGAGCTAATGAGAAGGAGGAGGAGAATATTCTTCTGTGATTGAGCTTAGGAGTGTAGAATATTAGCAACCAAAGTCAGTCTCTGGGGAATCCTATCATTAATTTTATTTTATTGAAAATTATTTATTTAGACCTTAGATGTGCAAAGTATAAATACAAACATAAAGACAATATTTGATTAAAAACAAGCAAGGGGGGAGGTAGATAGTAAACTACCTGAATAGAAGATAAGGATTTCCAGCAACTTTAGACATAGTCATTGCCTTTCCTGGGCCAAGTGAAAGAAATAAGTAAAGAATTATGTACAAGGTTTCCTTGATTTTATTCAGGATACATATCTGAGTTTTCAGAGAATTTTAATTGTTAAGGGCACTCAAAAAGTACCCCTGCTCTGCATCCATGGCATAATATATTAAATTAAATACGAATGTTTCCATTCGTATTCTAAAGGTGCTTCCATATGCTGCTCTCTACATCTTGGTACATAACTAGGAGTCTAGAAATAGCTGAGAGTCAGAAGTTGCAAGCATTATTTCTCCAAAATCAAAGTTTCTTACATGTAAATGAGGTTTCAAACATGCATGATTAAACTTAAGCACAGCTTAAGGATATTTTTTTCTGTGATACAAGAAATATCATGTAAATAACAGCTGACATATATTTTGCATTCTAGTCTGCATGCTGAGAAATCAGGACAGAAGTTCAGAGGGACACTGTGTTTGTGCTTGGCACGTATTCTTCCCTTCAGAATTGCCCTCAATTGTTACTCACCTCAAGTAAATACATTTTAATAGGACTTTTTTTTGTCATTGGTTTTGTTTGTGCCTGCAAACCAAATGTGGGAAAATTACAGAAAAAAGGACTCCAGTTTAATTTACAAGTAATGCCACTATAATAATATATATATCAGATATAGCAGGATCCCAGAATATATCTATTCTTATGTGGAATTGGATTGGAAAGCAAATTAACATTAAGTTTGGGTGGGGAGGAGGAATGGGCATATTTGAATGCAACATTTGGTATACAAGAAATAACTCCTCACACAGATATTTTATGAAATGGTTGCCCACCTAATTTTTCTGCAGATTCTTTTTCTGAGTATGCTCCTAACCCTTGCAGTGCAATTATTATTTTTCAAAAGCTTAATCAGTTTGTTTTAAGCTTCATAACGTGAAGAAGCAAAATTAGTTCAGAGATTCCGAAACTGAAACATGTGGATCATGAAATTGTTCTCAGTGATCTCAGGCCAAACTCTTAAAGATGGGGTTCATGTGCATTATGGTAAGCTTTGCTTTATCATGATTTGTTGAATAAATCACACTACTTTGGCTTTACACAAAGTTATAAGTGATGATTTAGTAATATTGGTGGCTTAGTTCACAATATCCTAAGCCCCACACAAACCAACTGCACTGTGGTTAAAATCAATAGAAGAATGCAGGCTTAATTTAGCGTTTAAAACGATCTTTAAATTGATTAAATTGTGAGGAAAAATATCAGAAAAAACATACCTTGTGAAACTTGGTTGATCATTCAGAAGGAGTGAAAGAACCATAAAAGAGAAAAACAAAGCAATAATTATAAGGAATTATTCAAAAAAAGCAAATAGAAAAGCGTAAGTATGGCAATTAGCTACCCTGTTTATTAAAGAATAGCATTTTAGAACTGAAGCTTTTTTTCTTTTGCAAATCCCTAACTAATAAGAATTTAAATTTGCTTCTAGAAAATGAAGCATTTATTAAGAAGCTACACATTTATAAACTTGAATATGTATTAAGGGAATCTGAGAAGGAAAATAACCCTGGGTTTGTAGGGATCAGATGAATTAAAATCTTGACTCAACACAAAAGCGAAAATGATAATATCATGAATAAAACTGTCAACATCACAATGTCATAAATTAATACAATATGACCATACTTGGTACACTAAGTACAATTTTAAGTGCTATCTTTCCAAAAAATATTATTAAGGTATTAAAATGGCAGTCCAAATGAGGAATTAATGGATTAAATGTACTACCAAAAGGTATTATTTTAGCTAGCATAGAGGAGAATGGAGAAAATGATAGAGTGACAAAACATCATGTATAGTATAGAGGGGAAATAAATTCTCCTATATATATAAGGAGTTAGCATTAAACTAGTGGAGAGCGATTAAAGTTGTATTTTTTCACATAGAGTAGTTAAAACTATCAGAATCACATGATGACTGCCCCCAACTAAGATAATTATAAAAGGGCAACTTCTCAGGATATTAATAAAATGTGTCCAGGATCAGAGGAAGTTGTCATTAGTGGGAATTAATGACAAGAACTCTTCTCAGTTGAAATTCAGGCTTTATATACACCTGAGATGGCACCAATCATACATGTGGACCACTTCTGGCAATAGCAGGATATAGGAGGTGTAATTCTGCTTGCCCTCTTTGCCCCCTCAACAACCCATGATACTATTGGTTATGGTATTCTTCCGGACTGGGTCTGAGAGTTGGGAATGGAAGGGACTGTGCTACAGGTAGTCCTCAAGTTACAACAGCAATTGGAATTGGGACTGCCATTGTTAAGTGATACAGTTGTAAAGTGCAACAACATGTGATCAGATCACTTATCAACACCAATCCCAACAGTCCCAGGTGTCATCATAACCCCAGTACTGTGGAAATCATTAAATGAAAACAAGGGAGTTCCAGGCAGGAGCACAGGAGGGAATGCTGGTGAGAGGGTGCTATACAGGGGGCAGGTGCCACAGGCAAACACTATGTAATGTGGGCAGGATGGCAGGGCTGCAGGAGGGCTGGCAGAGGCCTCAGATGGGTTACCAGAGGTTGCAGGAAATGATATGGTATGTGGGAATGGTCTTGGGAGGCAAGGCAAAGAAATACAATGCAAGGAATGGTCAGATAAGAAAGAGCATAGGCTGCAGTTGTATAGCAGGTGAAGCAAAAGGATCAGAAGGGATCCTTTCCAAGTTCTTGGGCTGTAAAAATAAAATTGTACTTTCAGACTTTCAAGATTCTATTGCTACACCTTCATAATAACATAGAATTAGTTTATTTGGTCATGTTTCCTTTCTAGTCTACTTGGTAAGGCTGAAAGGTGGGTTCTGGAGAACACAGTGAGTTAGTAAGAAATGCAGGTAGATGCCAGGGAATGTAGGCAAGCCAGCAAAGGTCTCCAATGGGTGATGGGGAACAAGGGCAGGCTGGCAGAAGGTGTGAGCAGGGTGCTGTGAGCAAGTGTGCACTATGGAGTGCAGGCAGGAAGGGGTGCTAAGGAGTATGAGATCTCTGTAATGGGCTCCCTGGACAAAAAGAGGTGGGAGCAACTTACTGGACTCTGCTTGTGGGAAGCTAACAGAAAAGATTACAAATGCTGATCACATGACACAGCTCACTGCAACAGGGTAATCATGACTCAGGCTCCCAAGTGCCTGGATTGCAATCATGTGACCGAGGGGTTGGCTGGATTTTTAAGGACCAGTTTAAGTCCATATTTCAGTGCCAACATAACCTCGAACAGTTGCTGAACGAATGGCTGACTGTCATACTGTATTTTTCCATGTTTCTCTGGGATTGGTTCCAGTTGTGTTGGGAGGGAAAGCACCCTGACACCTGAAACCCGCATTTTTTGGAACCCTTAGGACTCAATGCATTCCCCATTCATATTTAACATCTACATGAGGGTATTATGTGGGGTAACCTGGAAACATTGGATTAGGGAGTGTCAATATGTGGATGACATACTGTTGTCTATTTCAATCCCAAGCTCAATGGACCACATTGCCAATGTTTTGTTCTAGTGCCTCAAGGATATTGGATCTGGATACAGAGGAACAGGATTGGGGTCAACCTGTCCGGCCCTTAGCAGAAGGGGAAACAAGAGTCACATGGAACATCTTTAATTAGGCTTATTGTTGGGAAATAAGAGGCTAGGATATAGAATCTTGGAAACAGAATAAGCAAAATTCCTACCTACATTTAGGAATGAATTCATTAAGATGAGATCACTGAATTATTGAACCCTTTTTTCCAGATTATGAAACCGAAGCACTAACCACTCATTTTCCCCCCAGATAAGCTTGATACTGAAACAACCATCTGCTCTTCATTAGTTACGTTTTGAAATACCTTGTTTTTATTCTCAGCCTTGGTGAGTTTTCTTCACAACCCTAGCAACACTGAATGGTTGAAGATGCAAGGACCTTCTGTTCTAGAGATTTTCTAATATTAGTTCTAAATTGCACTGCAGTAACCCAGGCAGAATTTGGGGATTAGTGGCAGCTATGGCCAAAAGGGCTACCTGCACAAATACATTTGCCCTTTTCTGATTTGGGAGGCCTTCTCAAATAGTCTTTCAGGTTTTAAATACTTTTGTTTGTTTGTACTACTACAACATGCTCCAGTTGGGGTTGCATCTGGAAGCTGCATTTGGTCTAGAACGAAGCAGTATGAGTAGCTGCAGACCATTGCACCCATGTGTCACCTCTATTTCACAAGCTGCACTGGTTACCAGTTGGCTTTCAGTTGCAATTCCACATGACAGTAGGCACCTTCATGACTTGAGGTCTAGTTACCTACATGAATATATTTTTCTCTCTATGGTTTGGTTGTTTGCTTGTTTAGTAAATATTGTAGACTAAGCATGCTCCAGGTCCCATAGATCAGTGTTTCTCAACCTTGACAATTTTAAGGCATGTGGACCTCAACTCCCAGAATTCCACAGCCAGCAATGCTGGCTGTGGAATTCTGGGAGTTGAAGTCCACGTGCCTTAAAATTGTCAAGGTTGAGAAACACTGCCATAGATGAAGGAGTGTTATCTTACAGGATCCCAGAGACTTCCCTTCTCTATGTCTGCCATTGCCTACTGAAAGAGCATTACTTGTGACCCAGTTGTCTTTAGGAAAGGCTTGAAGACCTTGCTTTTTGAGCAGGCCCTGGGATAGGCTGCTTTTGTGGCCCAGCTTATGATGTTTATTTGTTAGCCATATAATTATATTAACGTTTCCCTAATGTGAGCTTCTCTGTTGGTACATTGTTTTTTGTTAGGTTTGTTTTAATCTGTTTTTATTACATTGCCTAGAATTCCTTTGGTAATTGAGATGGCCAAACTGATTACATTTTTTAAAAAATAAATAAATCTTGATTGCCTGTATGCACCATTTATGGTTACTCAGAGCCAACTGATTGATTAGTATAGAAATAGGTATGGTACATTTATAAGACCAGTTGAATGTGAAGGAAAATGTTTTAGAGGTCACTCCATTACAAAAGCTGTTCTCTATATCCTAATGTTGTTTCTGTGCAAAGAAAAATTAGGAAAAAAGAGAAGGAAGCAATTTTTTTTTCTTTAGCTTGTTTCTGCAAACATATACCATCAAGGTATCAACTCATACAAAAAGAGTTTGCAGCTGTTAGAGAACTATTTGATTTAATTAGTGCCCACTTCTATCCCTCTTCCCATAAGCTCACTTTAAATTCTTAATTATTGGAATAACAAACAAAAATGATTGTACTCAACTTACTGGCAAGAATGACCATGTCCATCCCCCAAAATATACTCATGATCCAGCCAACCATCACAATTGCTGTAAGAATCTGAATCAGAGCTGCTGCAATGTTCAACCAGAACACACAACAAATGTGTCTGTCAGGGAGATCAGTCCGGGCTCCACACAGCACTGTGAAAGCTGATACAAATGTCCCTGTAGGAAGGAAGATCAGCATTAAAAACTCAGAAGAAAACAACGGTCAGACACATCACATAAAACACCATCATATAAGAGCAGTAGAATAAGTGGTAGGCACAGCCTCAGAAATTATCTGCATTTGTTTCAAAAGGCACACATAAATAAAAAAAATATCCGTTACATTCGAAAACATTTTGCAGCATTTTAATATACTAAAAAGCATATTATTTACAGCTTAGAAAAAGCTTATTGTAGGACCACAGAATAGGAAAGGAACAAATCAACCAAATTTTAGCCTACTCCTACATAACAAATCAGAATACCATTTCCACAGATCAGCCTACATAATCATTAATATTGTTATAGTAAGAAAATCTAGAAGACAGGTGCTAATTAAATTCAATAACAGTCCTGGAATATATGTGCTGTTAGGCTATAAGATGAGCTATATATTTATTTGCTTATTTAATAGAGCACACCAGATTTCAGTTTTACTTTCTTTTTATTCATTTCTGAAAATTCAGAGTACATTTCTTAATACAAGTAGATTTTGTGGATACTAATGTGGTCAGTAGGCAAGAGTTTAGGCATTAATATTTAACTATTATTTTGTTTATCACTCAAATATGTAAAACCATCCTTTGTATATATTCCTCCCAAAGACCATGGCGGTCGAGAATCAATTCAAAAGCAAAGCAGGGAGCAGCAAGAATGGCAGAGAAGTTAGTACTGTATTGACTAGTCAATTAAAATATCCTGCCATTGGTGGGCCAGTTTACAATTGCATAATGTGGAAAGGATGGGTGTCATTCCCTTATTTGTGCTAAAACTGCTTATGAAGCAGCATTATTATTTAAAAAAAAACTGTAGGCAAGGTTGTAATATTATTTTGAAAAATAATAATTAAACTAATTAAATTTAATAACTAATTAAATACGGCTAAAATCAGGCAGTTGAGAGTTAAACTATATTTGAATTTCTGATTTAGAATTTAACTCAAAATTTATTTGATCATTCAGATATGATTTTGAAATTCAGAGATTCTAGGGGGAGGAATGGCAAACTGAAGACAACTATGAGTTTCTTGAAATCTCTCCATATAAGGACAAGATGGGAGAGCAATCACATGAACTCTGAATGATTGCTCCTCACAAGCCAGTCACAGTAAGACATTTTCTATGAATTGGAGCACTGGGAGACAGATTAACCATCTTGCTCACAATCACAATGGAGCCTTTTCAAGGACATTAAGATCATAAACTTCACTTTCTAATCACTTTTGGAAATTTCCTATTAGAATAGAATGGAATAGAGCTGGAAGGGACCATGGAGGTCTTCTTGTCCAGCCCCCTGCTCAAGCAGGAGAACCTATACCATTTCAGACAAGTGACTGTCTAATCTCTTCTTAAAAACCTCCAGTGATGGAGTGCCCACTATTTCTGAAGGCAAGCTGTTCCTCTGGTTAATTCTCCTCACTGTTAGGAAGTTTCTCCTTAATTCCAGGTTGCTTCTCTCTTTGATCAGTTTCCAACCACTGTTTCTTGTCCTGCCCTCTGGTGCTTTGGAGAATAATTTGACCCCCTCTTCTTTGTGGCAGCCCCTCAAATACTGGAATACTGCTATCATGTCACCCCTATTTCTTCTTTTCTTTAGACTAATCAAATCAAAGTCCTGCAGCCATTCTTTATATGCTTCAGTCTTCAGGCCTTTGATCATCTTAGTTGCTCTTCTCTGATTTTTTTCCCAAACTCTCAACATCTTTTTTGTAGCATGGAGACCAAAACTGGTTGCAGTATTCCAGGTGTAGTCTCACTAGGGTTTTATAAAGCGGTACTAATACTTTGTGTGATCTTGATTCTATGCCTCTGTTTATACAACCCAGAACTGTATTAGCTTTTTTGGCTGCTGCTGCACACTGCTGGCTCATAAACAAGTGATCATCCACTAGGACTCCAAGGTTCCTCTCACAGTTACTGTTTTTGAGCCAGGTCTCACCTAATCTATACTTATATCTTTGATTTTTCCTGCCTAAATGTAAAACTTTGCTTTTCTCCACATTAAAGTTTATGTTGTTGGATAGGGCTCATTGTTCAAGTTTGCCAAGATCTTTTTGGATCCTGAGTTTGTCTTCTGGGGTGTTGGCTATTTCTGCCAGTTTAGTGTCATCTGCAAATTTGATGAGTTCCCCTTCTATTCCCTCGTCTAAGTCATTAATGAAGATATTGAAGAGTACTGGGCCTAAGATAGAGCCTTGTAGTACCCCACTGGTTACTTCTTTCCATGTGGATGTAGTACTATTGAGGACTAGTCGCTGAGTACGGTTTGTCAGCCAGCTACAGATCCATCTGGTGGTGATGTTGTCTATTCTGCCTCTTTCTAGCTTACCAAGAAGTAGGTTATGGTCTACTTTATCAAATGCTTTACTGAAATCTAAGTATACTATGTCAACGGCATTTCCCTGGTCTACTAATTTAGTCACTTTATAAAAGAATGAAATAAGATTGGTTTGGCATAATCTGTTTTTAACAAATCTCTGCTGGCTACTAGTTATATTTGCTTCTAGTTGTTCAGAGATCTGTTTTTTTATTGTTTTTTTCAAGTATTTTCCCAGGTATTAATGTTAGACTGATTGGTCTATAGTTTTCTGAGTCTGTTTTTTTTCCTTAACTTTATTAACTTTAAAGCTATTAGAGACCTTCAGAATGATGTTTCAAATATCTTCATTGATGAGTTTATTTTAAGCTTTGAACAAAAGAAAAATTATTTATAAGCTTAAAAAAGCTGAAAGAGATAGCATAAAGCAGTAAAAGAAAATTATTAGATTTTACTATTATAATGAAAATTCTTAATAAAACCATATATATATATATATATGTAGGTCTTTGGTTGTTCGGGTTTTCTCCCGCGTAAAATTGGAAGTGTCTTGGCGACGTTTCGACGAAGTCCCATTCGTCATCTTCAGGCTGGTGTTTTCAGCTTCGTGCTTTGAGCAGCAATGTGTGGTCTTAGCTGTTTCTTCCTTTTAACTGCCAGTGCGGGTATGAACTGATTGGGTGGGAGCTTGGCTGTGTTCTGATTGGGTGGAGGTGTGTTCTGATTGGTTAGGGGCTTGGCTGTGCTCTGATTGGCTGGGGGGTTGGCTGTGCTCTGATTGGCTGAGGGGTTGGCTATGCTCTGATTGGCTGGGGGAGTGTTCTGTTGGTTGTGCTCAGGTTAGTCTGAGTTGCAGAGGGGTTTAAGATTTTGGGCTGCCTTGCTATTTTTTGGCTTCGCGTTCGTGGTTGTGCCTCCTCTTCATGGAGGGTGTCAGTTTGCTTCATGTATGGATTGGAGGGGTTTAAAGTGGCTAATGATGCAGCTATAGTCTGGCTTTTGGTTTGTGGTCGTGCCTCATCATCTTTGGGTTTGGGTTTGTTTTTTGCGTGGATGTGTGCTGGTGACATCCTGTGTGGTTTTTGTGAGTGTGGGTCTGGTATCATTTTTTGTGTTAGGGAGTCGTTTGTCAATAAGGGCGGGTTTCCAAATGGCTGGTAGGCGGGAGGTATCATCTCGCTTGTTCATGCTGTGTGGGCGTTTTTCTATCTCGATGGCTTCTCTGATTATTCTGTTATTAAAATGTTCACTTTTGGCAATGGTTCTGGTATTTTTAAAGTCAATTTCATGTCCTGTGGCTTTAAGGTGTTGGACCAGGGAAGATGTTGGTTCCTCTTTTTTGACTGAGTTCTTATGTTCTTCAATGCACTTATTCTTCTGTTGGTTTGTATGTGGTGGGACATACAAACCACAAACCACAAACCACAAACCAGAAGCCAGACCACAGCTGCATCATTAGCCACTTTAAACCCCTCCAATCCATACATGAAGCAAACTGACACCCTCCATGAAGAGCAGGCACGCGAAGCCAAAAAATAGCAAGGCAGCCCAAAATCTTAAACCCCTCTGCAACTCAGACTAACCTGAGCACAACCAAACAGAACACTCCCCCAGCCAATCAGAGCACAGCCAACCCCCCAGCCAATCAGAGCACAGCCAACCCCCAGCCAATCAGAGCACAGCCACGCCCCTAACCAATCAGAACACACCTCCACCCAATCAGAACACAGCCAAGCTCCCACCCAATCAGTTCATACCCCCACTGGCAGTTAAAAGGAAGAAACAGCTAAGACCACACATTGCTGCTCGAAGCACGAAGCTGAAAACACCAGCCTGAAGATGACGAATGGGACTTCGTCGAAACGTCGCCAAGACACTTCCAATTTTACGCGGGAGAAAACCCGAACAACCAAAGACCTACATATGTGTGTGTATGTGTATGTGTATGTATATGTATATGTATATATACATACACACATACATACACACACACTATTTGGAAATTCAGTATTTAAAACTAGAGTTGCCAGAGAAATTTCTCGCCTGACAACTCCTCCATATTCCATAACAGAATAAAAATGGCAAAACCCCAAAAGAAATCCAAAACAGCTGCTGGAGGGGAGGTACAGATCAATCTGCCTCTGTAATGGGATGAGTACATTAAACATGAAAAGCAAAATCCAAATTTCAAAATCTAGAAAATGAACAGATGTATTCTATCCCTAGTTTCTAAGCAATCATTGTAGCAGGTTAAAAATTATCCCATCCCCAAAGCCTATTCAAGAAATCACAGAACCAGAGAATGACTGTCAAACATTGACATTTTGCTTTTCCATTATTTTGAAGGAGGAAACACATAAAGTGATAGCAAAAGTCCTAAAAAAAAGTCTTGACACAGTTAAAAGCCTACAAAAAATCCTAGTAAAAAGCTCCCAAGGTTGTCTACCCACTAAGTGTCATTGTTCTTTATGTTCTCCTCCCTCCAAGTTACATGGATCTCAGCCCACAACTGCTGAGGATAATGTAACAAGTCATGAGGAACCTCTGTTAAATGGACAAGAAATTAAATTTTAAAGTGCACCACATCATTCCTAACCTTATAAGGAAATAGCTATTTATTCCACGAGCAAAAAAGTAGTAAT